CAGATAATTCTCCATCTCACCACTGGTGATTTTATCTTCTCCTCCAAACCCTTGTTTGGAAGGCATTTACCTTTTACCATCTGCTTTCTTCAGTTTGACTATTTCATCTTCCAGTCCTGCCAGCTTTTCACCGATTTGGTCTAAACTAAAGCATGGGTAGGCAAACTAAAGCCCGGCCCAATCGCCTTCTAAATCTGGCCCAGCGTGTTTTTACATGAGTAGAATGTGTCATTTTATTTAAAATGCATCTCTGGGGTATTTGTGGGGCATAGGAATTCATTCCCTTCCCCCCCAAAAATATAGTCCGGCCCCCCACAAGGTCTGAGGGATGGTGGACTTGCCCCCTGCAGAAAAAGTTTGCTGACCCCTGGTCTAACGCCTCTAGGTATTCTCCATTTCCATTTTCCATTTCATATATCTCTGATTCATTTTCTTTCTTCCTTTCATAAAACACTGATCTTATCATTTTTAATTGTTCAGCCATCAACTGTTGAACAATACTAACACCGACTGGGAGATCCAAAGGTATCGTTGTCATATTGGATCTTTCTGTTGTTTTGGATATTATTAGCAACTTAGTCTACCTTAATATTTTGAATTTAAGGTTCCACCTTAAAATCACTATCTCAATGAATCTTATCTCACCTGGATTTCCCCCCCACAGGAGTAATAGCTAATTAACTTTCAGCATCCTTAGCTGCAAAAAAGAAAAAGGGGTAAAGATTTTTTTTTTTTTACAGAGAATTCCCTTGTCTGTTTAATCTTTATTATCAACCATAAATCAGGCTTTTCGCTCTGCCTTAGCCACTGTAACTACCAGTTTTTCTTTTTGTTGTTCTTAATGACAGAAAGTGGTACCTACACATTTTCAGATTGTAAATTTTCACCAGCAGAAAGAGGCATCTCTCTAAATCACAGTTTTCCTTGTCCCAGAAACGTTTAAGAAAGGTGCGTAAGTGGAATTTGGGTATGATATTGAATCTGCAGCAAGCCAGCTCATCCTAACTCCTGTCCAAGCTCACACTTCTCATTGTGCTTGTTTACATACCGAAGGTTTATAAGTAAGAGACTTGTTTACAATTATATTTTTGGAATAATTCATGTTCTTATGTATCTGCATTGTTTTATTCTTTCTGGATGTGCCATGAACATATTATAAAGTAGTTGTGTTCTATGTTATAAATCAAGCACTACTAGGAGTTTGTTTACTAACATGACTTTGACCAAACTGTGGGAGGCAATGGAAGACAGGAGTGCCTGGTGTGCTCTGGTCCAGGGGGTCACAAAGAGTTGGACACGACTAAATGACCAAACAACAACAAGGAGTTTGTTTGTTTTTTGTTTTTTGATGTATTTCTGATCAAGAAATTTTTTTGGTGTGGCACGAGCAAATTTCTATTCTGAAAGTATGACCCAGGGAAAAAAGTTTGAAAACCATGACTAACAGGTCCTTTTATTTAAGTGGGTCTAGTCTGAATAGAACGTAGTTGAATATTGTTCGGTTCAAATGATACCAATGGCATCACCAAATTTAGGTCATTGCAGGTGGTTTCCCTGCATGGGGTGCCAAGTCAATAGGGTGCGAAACAACAATAAAACCTATATTTATACAAGTGCCTACTGAGACAATCCATTAAAAAGCAACTGTACCAAAAGGAAGAATTGTGAAAATAAGAAGCACTTTTGTGGTGCCACCCAATTTTGTTCTGGCTCAGGGCACCATATTACCAAAATCCACCCCTGCCAATGGGTCCCAACCAAACCTGCATCTATGACATGTAGGTTTGCAGCAGAGGGAACCTGCTGAGTTGGTCAAACCATTTACTGACCCAGTAAAGTAGCCAGTCTGAATAACCAAGAGGCTGCCATTTTGTCATACAGGCAAATGAGTGGGCCTCCCTTTGCCCTCAGCTGGATATTTCACTCACTTCGCCCAAGGCCTTATCTTGAAAGACAATACCTAAACTAACCTAACCTCAGATTCTGGAATCCATCACAGGACCTCAAACTTCATGTTCAGTTCCATTTTCACAGCTGCCAGACTCAGAAAAATTGAAGTTATTCTTCATTACTATGATTCAAATTTGAATACAGATAAAATATGTTGTTTGTTTCAGATCTAGTATTAAAGAACCATGTGGTGCCTTTAAAAGACCTTATAAATTCATTGTCACTAATCAAGCTTTAATGGGTCTAAGCCCACTTTATAGAATGCTTAAAGAGTTTCAGCTAAGTCAGGTATAGAGAATTGGTGGTTCTCTATCGTTGCTGGACTGCAACTCTGCCATTGACCCCACTGACTGGGGCAGATGGGAATTTGGGATCCAGCCACATGAGAGTCACAGCTTCCCCAGTTCTTAATTTAAAGTCCACATTCAATGCATCCCATTGACTTCTAACTGTTGCGCCTTTAGTGTGACAGTGCTGAATATTAAAAACAGAGTGTGTTCATTGTGTGCCTGGTTCATTTGGCTTTTTGGCAGGAAGGCTGCAGATCTCACACAGGGGCTTAAATTGAAGAGGGCTGAATCCTGCCTCTGAAACCTGTGAAGGCATGTTTCCACATTCCCGTAGGAGGCTGGGCTTTAAATCATTACCTTCCAGCCTGCATGCAGATTTGTGGAAGGGAATCTCAGTTAATCATAGGATAAATTTAGAAATCAATTATTATTTGCCAAAGTGGTTTCCCTCACTTTCCTTAATGAGAAGGTTGAAGGGATTAATCTTCTCTTCCCTGACCCCAGTATGTATGGATGAAGGGCAAGAACACTTAGCATGCCTTTCCCTTTCCTTATGCACTTGGCCCTTTAGAAGATCAAGTCTGAAGTACCTGGATGTGAAGCTGCAGAGAAATGGTTTTCCTTGTTTAGGATGATTCTCTTCATTGGAGGCCTGATGCATAATGGAATGAAAGAAGAGGTGTTCTTTGAGACTCAGTTGCAGGGCCGGGAAGCTGCATCCAGTTCCAGTGGGATCCTGCATTTGTGATCTGGTTGGTGGGGAGGAGATGCTTCTTAAATGCCTCTTTCTCCTACGGTAGGATGAGCTGAGCTCTCAGTGTTGATGAGTATATTTTTTAAATGAGAAATAATTCCCTTAAACATAGCAGTATCATCAGCATCTCTTACTCCCTACAAAATAAACTCTGAATGGATAGGTGCATTTCCAAATATTTAATTTACATCTCACTCTTCCTCCTAAGCGAGTCCTAGGTGGCTTGGCTGCCAATATGAGCAGCTTACTAACCAACTATTATGACACTGGGTTATATCTAGTGCTTGTCCTACTCACAGTAGTTCCTCTGAAGTTAATAGGAATGATTTAGGTTTATTTATTTTAGTAGGTCTAGTTTGAGTAGAACTTAGTTGGATATAACCTACTTCTTTTGTTTTTGGATGTCACAACCTTCCCCTTCCCCAAATGTCCTAAGCTCTGAATAGTCCTCTGCTCATCTATGTGGTTTTTGAGCTTCTAAACGGGCATTTTTCACGCTTTTGTTTTGTAAATTTCCATAAAGCACAACTGCCAAAGACTCTTGGATGTACTTTCCACAAAGCTATTGGCAAAGATTTCCTCCAGCATTTTCCTGTGCATGCCTTGAATACAAGAAGAATTAGGAGCACAGGAAACTGTGTTACACTGAGTCAGACCATTGGTCTATCAAGCTCATTATTGTCTGCACTGGCTGGCAGTGGCTCTCAGGGGTTTCAGACAAGGAATCTTTCCCAGCCTTATGTGAAGATGCTGGGGGTTGGAGCTGGAACCTTCTGCATGCAAACCAACACACACTTTTCTCCTCTTCCTCCTCCTCCTCCTCCTCCTCCTCCTCCTCCTCCTCCTCCCCAGAGCCATTATAAGAAGTCATTCTGTACTGCTGCTCATTTTACAAATGGGGAGCAGAGTCCTGACTTATGCCTTGTCCAGGATCATCCAGTTAATGTGGGGCTTCTGATGTGTATATTGTGGCTTGCCAATCATGGAAGGATAGGTCTGCTACATGTGAACCTCCACTGTCACATGTAGTGTACAGTGCCTCTGAATTCCAGTTGCTGAGGTGTGAGAACATGGGAGGGCATTTATTTACTTATTGAAGTATTTAAAACGCACACTTCCATAAAAATTGCAAGGTGGTATATAACATACAAGAGGTATATAACATACAGTCGTTCCTTGCCTTGCGACTCGGATGTTTTGGCTTCCGAACACCACAAACCCGAAAGTGAGTGTTCTGGTTTGCAAACACTCTTTGGAACCCGAACATCCATTTCAGCTGTCGGCATTGTTTCCAGGGCCAATCAGCCAATCGGAAGCCACGCCTTGGTTTGCAAACGTTTTGGAAGTCGAACGGACTTCCTGAACAGATTCTGTTCTTCAACCAAGGTACGACTGTATTGTCATTGGCATATTGTATTAATTCCCACCAAACAGCACTGAATATGAGATTTTTAAAGCTACAAATGTATTATAATATCATAACAAAGTTTAGAAGCTAGCTAATGTTCTGCGCTGATGATGCTTAAGTTGGTTAGTCATTGTTGACTTACTGAGCTTTAGAGATTCACTTTTATTTGTTTTAGTTTGCTAAAACTCCTTTCTTTTCAGGCAACTGAAACTGGCATCATAAGAAAGATTCTCAAGAAAGTAAAATTGTTTGTGTCTGTATCTGGCTTCTGTAAGGCAGTCTTACTCCTAACACCCATCATCTATTTTCCAAGCCAGGTCCTGAGAGGGGACAGCTGTTACTGCATTTGCCTGAGGGTACCCTTGATTTGGGGGTGGGGGCTCCCTTAGCTGCAGCCACCGCTCTTCACAAGTCAAAAGAGGGTCTACCAATGGCTTATGGGCTCATGGGCAAGTGGGCTTTGGGTGGACATGATTGATTTCATTAGACTGGTCATTTGACCTGGGTCAGCTGAAAAAACTGGGCATTTGATTCTTCCAGTTGAAAAGGTCCATGTTGTAGAGGTGGCAGTCGTTGTACCACCACCTCTTTTATGCACCTCTGCATATTTCCGGTTCTTGGGCTCCTGCTGTTTGTTCTTGGTTGAGAAAGGCATGACAAGAAAGCGAATTGCCTGTGAGGAAGAGAACAAACTCCAGTCAAAGTCAGACCAAGTTTGCACATATGTGATAATCCCTCTGTTGCCAGTTTGTAAGGCAACAGAGGGAAAAGCCAGAGATTCTTGCTACACACCATCAAGGCAAAGGAAACTGTGGACCTCATTTTCCCTCTGCTACAGCGTCACCTATATAATGGCCAGAGAGGACACTTTAGTCACTGTGAACTGTAAGGGAGGGAGGGGAAGCTGGACCATGTTGCACTCCCAATGACATCACCAGGGGGTGCAATAGAATCACCCAAGGTCTATTATCCTTTGCAGTAAAAAAAATGGCTTGTAGCAACACCTTGGGGTGCAGATCCCAAAGCAGCAGCTGCCACCCCCCCACCCCCAAGTGTGACACATAAGGTTAGAATGGTCTTTAAAAGGTGTCACACAAAAAGCCACCCTCCCCACCGCAGAAGGGCCTCACCCTCCTTGCCTACTTCAGTTGGCCCAAACATTTCTCCAAGTCTGGGGGGAGTCACGCCGCCTGCTACTTCTCCCCAGCCTTGTGATTCCACACCACAGCCACCCTTCCTCCCTAGAGGTGGGCAGAGGATAGCTATGGAAGGAGACCTAGACACAGTCACAGTCTGGCAGGAAGCTTCTCATGTGTGCATCTGCTGACTCTTGCACCACTCTCTCACCATGAGATTTGAACTCGGGCTTCTCTGGGTCCAGTCCAACACTCTAACTGTCACACAGCACACTGGCTCTCCCACCTTCACAAGGAGAGGACCCTGGAGATGGCGGTGAAATAGAAAGTGGAGGTCAGAGCAGAAGGACTTAAGTGAAGAAGGAGTGCCATTTACCCAAGGAGGTCTGCAGGTGAAGGTGGTCATTTCCCAGCCAGAATTCCATCAGCTGGCTTCCAAAACATCTCTTGCAAGAACCCAGTCCCGGTAAAAATCCACAGAGCCATCACTCCGCCTTGGGAATACGTGCAAGGACATGATGACCAGGTATCTTTTAGGTCTTTTCCTCAAAATGGGGCAGAAAACTCAAACGTCTGCTCATAATATATTCCTAAGTATGTTAGATGCAGCCCACCAGGGTGGTCTTCTGCAAAATCCCTGCGGAAAGGAAGGCAAGCAACTATGGTCCTTCACGATGAAAAACCCTGAAAGGGAAGGTTCTTCAGCTCCCGGATCAATTTTCACCAAAATGGCATCAATTGCTGCAGGATATATTTTTTGTGGGGGGCGGGTACTTGTCTTTCAGTTCCCCCTTTTTTATAACTGTACTGTATTTATCATTTTTCATTAGAGTGTTTTACATTTCACTGAATATAACCTTCCCTTCCCCCTTCCATGGTTCTATTTCTTCATCCATTAAGACTGCCTATTCTAATTTCCCCTTATATTCATATTTCTCCCTTCCCGCTATATCTATAATACTTTACACTGCTGAATTTACAATGACTCTGCTAATGTTTTAACCTGATTAACAAACAATGGTGGAAATTTGCGGGGCCTGCCGGGCTCAGCAATGTCTACACTACTTAGGACCCTCCTGTATACAAAAAGTGTGTTTTAGCCACCAAACTACAGCTCATTCCCAACAAGAAACCACAGCTCCCCTTCTCACCTCCCCTCACCCATCCCTCCCACACCCCTCTAGCTATACCACTGAGTGGTACCCCAGAACCAAGGGGGCACTGCTGCCTCCAGTTACCAAAGTATCTCTAGGTGCTCCTGCTTTACCTCTAGCAAGTTTTCCTTGGGTTTAGGTGGCTTTCACTCCAGGTAGAAAACATGGCTCCTGTGTCTAGTTGGCAATTGTACTGGTGGTCATCTATGTGCATTTTGTCCATGAGGTCAGTGACAGAGAGGGTTAAGACGGGACACAGGAGTTCTGAGTGGATGGGATTCCTATTTAGTTGTCGGCATTCTCCTTTTTCGCTTCTAATAGGTTTTGGAGGTAGGGGAAAGGCGGCAAAGGCACCCACCTCCCCTCTTGGTTGGTAAGAACTATTAGTCTGTTGATGAGGTGCCTCGCCCCTCAGAGGATGCTCTTGCAGGCATTTGGGAATTATATTTTGCTACCTCTTTGAATTATTTGGGTTAGCATTGTTGGCTTGTGGGCAAAATCTCCTATAACGTCCAACTTTGCTGTACTGGTAACACTGATTAGTTGGACAAGACCCTTCCATCTGTGTCAAAGCTGAGAGGTTTACTGAGTGGGCACAGACTCACCTTGGTCAATGGAGGGAACCTCTCATCCCCTGACTCGATGTTTCAAATTCTCCGGAGGCTTCGTATGTATTTAATCCCCTGATGGGCTAGGGTTGGATGAGGTGGGGCTGGAGGTGTTATTTCAGAGGGCTGGGTGTCTGGCAATATGGAGGGTTGGGGGGGCAAAGATGGTGGGTCAGGTAGGGTGGGACCCCTGCCAGCAATGCTGGACAGGGGTCTCCAGCAGGTGGGGAGGGAAAGGTGAGAGGGAGGTGCCCACCCATGTGGATGCTAGCCAGATGGTCCTGCTAATGGCTCGGGGTAATCCACATGGATGAGGAGGGAGAGGGGTGCCAGCCTCCGCCCAAATTGGGTTGCTGGCATCGGCAGGGAGGGGGGGCTGGGGAGGGGGCACCGGCCGAAAGAAGCTTTGGGAGTGTTTTTTAGGCCTTTTCTCAAGGGTTATTTTGTTCTCTCGGATGCCCCGTTTCTCCACTTCTGGGGCTTTGGTATTTTTTTCTTTGGGGGTTAGGTATGCCTATCCCATTTATGGCCAGGTCTCTCCTATCTTCCTTCCCACGGATGGGCGGGCTTTTTTGGAAACCCTCAGGGATAGGTTCCAGGGTCCTTCTCCGTCTCAGGCCTTCACTAAAGTCTGGAAAAAAAGAAATGGAGTTACAATCATTATTTTAATTGCCAAGGCTGTCTTTAGTATATGCGCCACCGGGGTGCAAAGATCCGCCCAGCGCCCACAAATTTAGTTTAGCAGCTCCCAGATTGGGGGGGGGGGGAGGGTGCAAACTCAAAGGAGAATCACTCACCCACAAAAATGATACAGCAGAAATAACTGTTTTTGTTTCCTGACTCGGCTCAATATTTGATGCTACGGAGTAACAGCAATGGAGGTGGTGGGCGGGGACATTTCCTCCATTGCTTTTCGAGAGGGACCAGTATACAGTAGGTATACATTTGGTGCCCCCCAGAATTTGTTACCTGGGTCCACCACACCCCTTGCACCCTCGGGTAAAGACGGCCCTGTTCAATGCAACTAATTTGTCCATAATGGAGAGTCTTCATTTATTCCAATGTATTATATCCATATTTAGAGCTTTTAAACCGATACAACTTGTTTGTTCAAATTGTGGGTAATTTGCACCCCCAGATATATAAAACTTTCCCTAGCTATTGGAATCTTCAACATTGCTGTTGAAGTCTGTTGTGTATGAATGGGCTGGTGTATGAAAAAGCATGACCTCCACTTTCTTAAAAGTATCTTGCAATCCTGAGACCCTGAAGAACTGTTCCAACTCTGTACATAGTATTTTTCCTGCTGTGATAGGGTCAGAGGTGCATAAAATTATATCCTCTGCAAAGAGGCCTGAAGTTTGTTCATTTCTGTTTGCAACCACTCCTGTACGAGGAGGTCCCAGGGTGGTTTGGGGTTCTACCTGCTGGAAGACCAGAAGTATTTCCTTGTTTGCAGCTGATGGCATAGGGACAGGGCTCCCAATTTGGACAGCGGGGTTCCTCTGTTCCAGTGGAAAGGGGCCTAAGTTTCCGTGATGGTAGAGGCCCACCCCGGTTAAAGATTTAGGCATCGGCTAAATCTTACACCAATTAAGCTCACCTGTTTCTATAATTTGGTGAGATAGGGGTTACAACAGCAACAAAGATCATCGTTCATCTAAAGAAATAGCAATTTCTCAATTGCTATTTCAGGCTCTCACACGAGAGCAGAATCTAACCAAACTGCTTTTGGTTCTGGATCAATGTGGATCATTTATGGATATTTACTTATTTATCTACTGCTTTTCCTCCCAAACTGATGTTTTGTGTTGTTGCTCCCTGGAAACTCTTGGTTCGTAAGCTGCTTTGGACAAGTGCAATGTACATTGTTCTACAAAATGCAGTGTAGATGGTCCGTAGTACTGAAAATAAATATGTTTTTGAAGGAGCCTCAGACTTTATCAGCACATCTAGTGAAATATATATTCAAGACTAAGTCCCACTGAAGGCCATTGAATAGGCCTTAGTCATGGCTTATCTAAGCCCCGTGGGGGGTACTGGGACCTTGACTAACTTGGGTGGCTATTTAAGGGAATCTGCCTTTCTCCATTTTCTCTTGCTGTCTATCACAGAATCCACTTGCATGTATGCTACCATCTCTTAAGTTGTCCAAAGATTTCATCCATCCCCAGCTATAAATCCTTAACTTCTCAGCTGGCTTCTCTGTCTGCTTCATGGGACAATGAAGCAGAACAGATGAACATCTAGATGGCACAATTTCCTACCTGCCATGTTGATAGGAATGCTAACACAAAAACCACAATTATCTAATATGATAGCACTCCTCACACTGCTTACTGAACAACATCCGGTAAGAAGTGGGCAACAGAATAGCGATGATGCAAAGTTGTTTCTTGCTGTCTCTACGGTAACCCTGCAGAATGTGAGGAGGGGGCTAGGAGAATATCAGAATCAGATGATGTCATCATGGAAGGTGGAAGAGCAGCACAGGGGTGAGAATAGGGTGATCAGTTCACCCTATTTGACCATTATCTACACAAATGCTCCCTACACATTTTTAAACATAGTCATTTGAATTTTCCTTTGGAGTTTGTTACTGTCTTCCATGTAGACGATGTTGGAGAAAGAGAATTGCACTCTGGAGATGGCCAGCTGAAAGGAATTTGTAGGAATTACTCAAACCGTACGGTTCCTGCCTTTGTGAATAACGAGCATGGTGTAGTGGTTAAGAGTGGTGAACCACATTCAATTCCCCGCTTCTCCGCATGCAGCTGCTGGGTGACCTTGGGCCAGTCACACTTCTTTGAAGTCTCTCAGCCCCGCTCACCTCACAGAGTGTTTGTTGTGGGGGAGGAGGGGAAAGGAGATTGTTAGCCGCTTTGAGACGCCTTGAGGGGAGTGAAAGGCGGGATAGTAAGTCCAAATTCTGTTGAACAATATTGAGCACAATAGTGTTCAAACCTTGGAGGTCATCTAGTCAAACTCAGAGCAGGAAGTTTGCAGCTACAGCATCTCTGACTGTCCAAGGGTGCCTAATCTGTGGCTTTCTATATGTTGTTGGATTACAACTTCCATAATCCCATGGTAGCTAGGACTGATGGGAGCTGGAGTCTAGGGACATCTGGAGGCACACAGCTATCCCTGCAGTATGTAGTGCAGTTGAATCACATAAATTAGAAAATAACATTATAGAAAATGGTAATAACCTTGGCGAGCAAAATACACAAAGTGTGGCACCTACAACATTACACTACACAGCATTAGCCTTCATACAAGTAAAACTAAACTGGAGATAAAAAAAGATAGCTTCCAAACAGCTACTCATCTTCACATTTCCTGCACCCTTCTCCATGTCTATTGTACAAGAATGCAGAATGTATTATGTCCTAAGAAGAAATCACAAAGTCTGCAAGAGAGGCTACACACTGGGCTGCCTTCCCCTCCTATAGAAGGAGCTCCTTTCTCACCTCGTGGCTGGCTGGCTGCCTCCCTGATGGAACTGTGCTCTGGTGTCCAGGCAGAGGGGTGGATACTGGTCAGCAGAACAGGCTCTATGACCTTAGTGAGTAGCTAAGGGAGGCATTGTGAGCTCCCTCATTCAGGGGCTGTTTAAAAGGCCAGGCAGGCACCCTGCAAGCTAGCTATGGTGTCCAGGCAGAGAGAGGCTGGTCTGCAGGACAGCCTTTGGCGGGGACAGCCTATGGAACTTTACCGAATGAGACCCCCCCTAAGGCCAGGCTGCTGCTGCTGCTGCACCACCAGCACCAGGTAGAGATGAAGGCCCCTGAATGAGTGTCTCTAAGACTTGCCTGCCTGCCTGCCTGCCTAGCTAGAAGATAGCTAAAAGTCAGGGATGATTCCTGCCAAACCTCTACATGCAATGAATTTCTCAGAGCAGAGCCTGCCATCCCTAAGGCTTAGTCCATAGTAAAGTTCAGCCAGACCTTAGGCATGTAGGGAACTATTACAAGAATTGCCCCCTCAGAGATCTCAGGGACTGAGATGGAGCATAAGAACATAAGAAGAGCCTGCTGGATCAGGCCCATCTAGTCCAGCATACTGTTCTCACAGTGGCTAGTCTGATACCCTTCAGAAGCCTACAGCTTGGACTAGATGATTCTCCGGATCCCTTCCAACTCTACAGTTCTATGATAGTACAAGTTATTAGACAGTCCATAAGGTACTTGGGCTTCATGTTGTTTAGGGCTTTGTGGATTAACACAAGTATTTTGAAGTTGGCCCAGCAGTTACTGCTTCCAAGCCATACTTGTGGTCTTCCTAGAGCCATCCAACAAGCCACTATGGGAAATGGGATGCCAGAATAGATGACCCATTGTCTGATCCTACCATTATCTTGCTGCTCAGTGCCTCCTAACTCTGCTCACTGGACCACATTGGCACATGTTCAGTTAGCCCTAAACGGAGACTATTCTATGCTATTCTCTGTGCTCTGAAAATGACAACATACAGGCACCCCATCACTTCTGCACAATCAACTCACATGACCATGTATACACACAGTATGGGGAAATAAATAATTCGTTTCATACCTGAAAATGGCAGAAGAGAACCAGAGAGTCCTCATGGCCCACAGGAGACCCTCCCGGAGCCCAAAGAGGACATCAGTGAGAGTGGAGGAAGCACCGAAGAGACCGGACGTGCAGTGGGGCCTAACAGCTGGTATGTGGGTTGGGCAACAGCAGTCATTTTCCCACACACCCTCTGTCCTCCTGCTGGCCCCAGAGCTTCAACTCTAGTTGTGGATATTTTTTGATACAGTGTTTTGGGTATGGATTGAAGAGAGAGTGGCTGGGAGGGTGTTCAAAGCAGGGGTATGCACTCATTGGACTAGTGGGACTAGCCTAGTCTCATATTTTCCTGGCAGTAAATTAGTGTTATAAAATGTGTACCTCTTACTTGAAGTGTAACCCCTGTGTCAGTGGGGGACGGGGATGCCTGTAATAATAAATTATTGTTATACCCCATCCATTTGGCTGGGTTGCCCCAGCTACTCTGAGCGGCTTTCAACATAATATAAAAATACAACTAAACATCAAGCATTACAAATTCCCAATATGTCTTTAGATGTCTTTGGAAAGTCATGTAATTGGTTACCTCTTTGACATCTAATGGGAGAGTGTTCCACAGGATGGGCACTACTACCAAGAAGGCCCTCTGCCAGGTTCCCTGTAACTTTACTTCTTGCAATGAGGGAACTGCCAGAAGACCCTCGGAACTGGACCTCAGTGTCCGGGCTGAACGATGGGAGTGGAGATCCCTGATGGATCAGATTGATAATCTGTCTTGTTGTTGATCACCCTGTTTAGCACAGTGGTCATGTGGGTGTGTCTATGTAGCTCCCAAATAGGACCTCTTGTGTTTTCTCCTCTATGCTTGGTCACAGAATGCATCTTTGGGTGATGAAGATTCTGTATAGCTGCTCTATAACATTGGCAGCATATTGTGAGCTAGCATTGTGGCTAATAGACTCAAGCTACGAATTGAACAGTCCCTTGTTCGAATCTTGCCTCTGCCATGAAACTCTATAGGTCACCTTATGCTGGCCATTCCCTCATTTGCAATATAGTGGGATGATAATACTGATTTAGCTTCGCTTCCTGCTGAAAAGGCTTAACTGCTCATAGGGTTGTTTTAAGTATTGCAACTTCTCATTCTAAGTTATATGAAGAAGTGCTTTTTGTATACTGCCAAGTTCTAGTGTCGTGGAAAAGACTTCTTCCTACTTATCTCACGCCATTCTCTCTCTCTCTCGCTCTCTCTCTCCTGGCCCTCTTCCATTTCAAACTGAACAAACCTATTCTACTTATTTATTTGAAGAACTGTAGCTTATTATTTTAGCCGAAGTGCCTCCTGAACTAGCTTACAGAGATCAGTAGCAAGTAGTCTTTCTCACCTGTCATCCCCCCTCCCCCCTTCAAAATAAAGTACCTGTTTGCAAATAATGTTATCTCTGGCTTTTACTAGAATTATCACATGTGTATTTTAGCAAAACTTAACAAGATGTCATTGTTAGCTTCCTGTCTTGTTTTGCCCAGTACTGTACTCCACAACATTTTTTCTGCTGCCTTTTCCAAGCAAACTGCTCAAGATAGTTTGCAAGCAGGTAAAAGCAATAAATATTATTTTAAAATGACAGAACAGCAATAACATGTTACATATACAACACATGATATTGCAGCTGTTGTAAGAAAAGAAAAAGAGAAGGGAAGGGAAGTCTGGCTTTTCCCAAAGCAAAGTAGCAATTCTCTCTGGAGAGCCAATATTTTACGAAGTTCATATTTGGGGCTTGTCTGCAGCAAGTCATAACATTTTGCAAACGGGGGTGTGTGTGTGTGTGTCTTAATTCCTCCCCATTGTGTGTGAATGCAGTTCCCTAGCTATCACCTGCTGCCAAGCAGATGTGTTATTTATTAAACCTCTTGGTGGAAAAAGGATCCCCTAAGCTTTGAACATCTGTGATGATGAAAAGAGCCTGGTTTTCGTTGCCAAAGCTGCTTTTTGTCTGCCAATCTGGGTGCTCCTCATGTACAGGCGGTGGCATGCTTTCTGCACATGACGGAGTGTCTTCTTCAGTTTTCTGTGGGTTAATGTTAGAAAGGCTTGCAACAAGCCCTCAAAAATGCTTCTCGCCACTCAGTTCTTCTCAGTGAATGTCTCTCCTGACCTTGGCACCCTATCCCATGAAGTATCTACAAAATGACATCACAAAGTCTTGATGACATTACAGTGGTACCTCAGGTTAAGAACTTAATTCGTTCCGGAGGTTCGTACTTAACCTGAAACTGTTTTTAAACTGAAGCACCACTTTAGCTAATGGGGCCTCCTGCTGCTGCCGTGCCGCCGGAGCACGATTTCTGTTCTCATCCTGAAGCAAAGTTCTTAACCTGAAGCACTATTTCTGGGTTAGCGGAGTCTGTAACCTGAAGCGTATGTAACCTGAGGTACTACTGTACTGAGAAACTGAAAAAGTAAAAATAAAACTACTAAAAACTACTAAAAGTAAAAAGAAAACTACTAAGCCAAATGAGCATATATAAAGATCCTTGAATGCCTCTCTCACCACCACCCGGGCTGCTTTTATAGTCTCAAATTTTGTTGGGGTTTGCAAAAACCCCAAAGTCCCGAAGTCCTGCAGGCCAGGCTCAGAATATGAACCTGGATAGAGGAGGAAAGATCACAATTCCTAGGTGGATTCTTCAACCTCTTTGCCCAAGTCTTTCTCACACTATTACCTCAGATGCAGCAGGAAA